GTAACAGAAACATGGCAAATCCCATCTACATGCATAGGAGCCAAAATGATCAATAAATTGATCGTGGGCCCTTAAGATATAGAAGAAGAAGAAGTGGCACAGATTGTGTAAATTTACCAAAAATTTTAACGTTATACTTATTAAAAGGCAAGTCTTGTTGATTATTGCTAGATAATTATTTATTAGCATGCATACACAGCAACAGTAACAGCTACGGTTAGCCAATATTTTTTAAATTAGTAATATTTAGGCTGCGCAGGCAAATTTTCAATTAGGCTAGTTCTTATCTATTTGAATTATTTATTATTTTGGTAAACTTAAAAATTGTAGAGTAGGAGTAGAAGCAGAAGGGTGATGAGTGGGTGGTAGTACTCAGTACTGGTCTGGTAGCAGTAGTTATGACATGAATTGAACATGCCTAAGTGATTGCAATATATTGAAATATAGGTAATATAGGCCTATTGAAATAACTTGCTAAACAAAAGAATACTAAAAAAATAAAGGGAGTGAATCCAAAACAAAGTCGTCGTGGGCCGCTAAATCTGAAATAGCCAACTTGCTCTTACCAATTAAAGAGACTCAATGGAAGGTATCAGAAACTGAAATAAAAAATAAATTCAATATATGCTTCTTATTTTAGCTGCAAAACTAGTCTAGCTGATACGAAGAAAAGGAAATATATTATTGTTTACACAAGAGAAACAAACCGGAAGTGGTAACAATGATTTCAGTACAACATAAAATTATCCAAAAACAATGAAATTATGTACTATTTTGATATATGATATTTTTTACGGTCGAAATTAAAAATTTCTTGCAATCTAAATTTAATTTAAATATTAAAATTCTTTTTGTAATTATCTACGATTAACAATTAGGGCTAAATACTATATGATCCTTTTTAATTTCTTTTTATGGTATTTAATTTTAATAGTTGCTCCCTGTGTTTCTATGTTTATTTCAGTTTTCTTAGTAAAGAGAGTTCTGCCACTGCTAAAAGTATCAATTGCAACTAATAATTGACATTGACAATTTTCTTTTCCACCAATTAACGTGTAACAATTTTGAAAGGGACTAAGTAATATTTAAATGATGAGAGGTAAAAACTTTTCCGTAACCTTTCTCATATCGATTAATGCGTATTTTACCTCAAATATTCTACCCTTTTTTTATAGGCAGTGTCGTATATCACCCGCACTATTTGCCCGGCGACTAAGTCACATGACCGTAACAAAATGGGGGGGGGGAAACGATCCTATACCAGGTATTGATCCTCAAATCATAATAACGCCAAGCGACCACTCTACCACCAGACCACACAATATCTCCCAAATTGCACTTCGTTCGGAATAATAACTACTGGCTGTCCGGCGGTCACGTGACATGTCGCCGGATGTATATCTCGCGCACTATTTGTCCGGCGCGCCGGACAATTACTTTTTTATACTTCAGTTAATTAAATTGACTTAATTACCCTTTAGCTTTTAGTCTTTAAATTTAAAAAAAAATGAAGGATAAGTAATACCGGTACTTACTACTAATAGTAGTTATAGCTTAATCCTACTGTCTGAGTGCAGTGGATTAATATACTAATTACTAATACAGTTCTCAGTCTTAGTTATTAAAATCGACAGACAAAATCAATAATCAATACTTTATTACTTGTCCATTGAATTTGATAGGCCTATTGTATATTTTAAATTGACACTCAGTTGTAATCTACCACTTGAGCTTTGGTCATGAAAAAGTCCTGTTGTTCCAGTTGGAAGTGCTAATGAGCTAATGCTTATTGTTTTATTGATGTCCATTCATTATTAGTACAGTGGAGAGAGGGCGACTGGTTTTTTTATGGCATAGAAAGAGAGAGAGGGCAATGTTTTCTTGTTGAAGTACCAGACCGACGTACGATTCAACTCATGCAAATATGAAGGGAAAAGATTAGTGATTGTGTCAAATTGTCTCTTCGGTTTGCGCTTTGCGAGTAGCCACATATTTTCAAGAGTGACAACAGTGTGCCTATGGACACCAGACTCCTTTGAACTGACAAAATTTTCTTGATAAACAACTGAGTGTCCGTAGATTCCATGTCTGATCTGATTTATTTTTACATAAGCCACCCATCCGTCTGATACATTAATTGAGCGAGGAAGGATAAATCTCTCTATACAAATCTGTCTTGCACTTCATCAGCAGCAACTCTCTCTTTCTATGCCACCAAAAACCCAGTGGCCCTCTCCACTGTATTATTAACAGACATCAATAAAAGAATAACAGTTTAAACAGCACTTCAAACCGGAACAACACAATTTTTTAATAACTGATGCTGAAGTGGTAGATAACCAAGTCATATCCCTACTATTGAATCAGATATTGAAGCCTCTGTAACACATTTTTTAATAATATTTAAGGGATTCAGACCACTTTATCACTGACCGTTTTTAATTCAAGGATAGATTTATATGCACAAGTTGCAACACTAGCTACACTATCCTTTGTAAAATGCACCATTGTCACATGGGGAGACAGGCTGTTGATTGTTACACATTAATTCTGTCTAAGTTCCAAACATTTCTATAGAGGCAACTAGAATGGCAGATGTGATTTTACAATAACTAATGTACTCTCTGCTAATAGAACACCAACATGAATTGTTTTAGTAATCAATGAGCCAGAATGATTAATTCACTGATCGTGGGCCCTCAAAATATAGAAGAAGGAGAGTAACATTGACCCCACATAGTATAAACCAAATCCACAATTTAACATAATTTTGTTATTATTCAAGAAACCGCCCCTTACCCTCACTACTTTTTTATTTTTATCGATTCTGTATTTGTTTATGCAGAAAACTTGCAACTGTCTTTTTTAACTATAAATATTAAAGCTTTTTTTCCATTGATATATTGTATTAAATTTAACATCTAGTAATAGGAAATTCTCTTCTCTTCTCATAGATAGTCTCAATTTATTAAAGCTTTACTCTACTTGTTACATACACAGATGGTTTGTGTCTTTTGATTTAACTTTGAGACATTATTGTTTTATAAATGGGCAGGTTTAGCAATAACAGTTAAACCTAACCTATGGCTGGCTTTGCAAATGTCTGTCCGAGGATACAGCCCAGCAGTACCACAGGTGGCTGATAAATCACTCCTAAGTAAATTGAGGAAACAAACAGGCATCCCATTCATCAACTGTAAAAAAGCTCTGACGAAGTTTGATAACAATTTTGATCAGGTAAACAAACAAAATATTATTTTTTGTTCAAATTTAACTTTTCATGGAATTAAGCTCATATAGCCAGTAAAAAAAAAAAGATCATATTGTGTTTCAATCATAAAGTGTTAGCTATGCATAATATGACTTTGTATAATTTGTTACTAAATGTTACTGGTATCTTCAAAGAAAAAAGATTTAATTTTCTTTTTTTCCTCCCTTTCAAGGAAGTCCTATATAGTTTTAAAAATAAAAATGTTCCAATATATTTTCTTTGTCTCAAGTCTCGGGTCAATTTTACTGGGGTACTTATTAAAAAATGTTAAAAATTAATTTGATCTTTTTTTTTGTGTATAAATGTTATGTTATAGACTTATTAGAATCTCTTTTTCTAAAGGCCAAGCAATTGCTGCTATAAGAAGCACAGAAAGAGGGTTGGGCTAGAGCAACAAAATTTCAAGCACGACTAATGTCTCAAGGCTTGGTAGCTGTTCTGGCTCATAACAAAGTTCTGGCTGATAACAAAGAGGCAACTATGATAGAGGTGAAATCTAATTGATATTAATTTACATGTTCTTTGCTTTAAAATCAGATGATTTCATTTGGTTCCATTTTTCCATTTCTACCCCCTGAAATTTTAAAGAGGATTTGATTTATTGTATTCATGTTATACTTTTTAAAAACAATAGTGGCTTTATTGCTCAATCTTTTTTTTTTTAATTTTGGAATCCTAACAGGTGAACTGTGAGACTGATTTTGTAGCTCAAAATGAGAAGTTCATTTCCATGGTTACCAAGCTAGTTCAAGAGTGTGACAGTCACTTTGGAAATTTGAAGGAGAAAGAGGTGCAATTTAAATGTGAAATATTCAATTGATTTTTTTTTAAAGAAAAAAAAATACCAACAGTTATTTTGATGTTTTTCCTCAAAACTCAAAATATCAGTGAAAGTAAAATTTTCCCCTTTCCTACAAACATCTGCATTACAGGCTGCATACCACTTTGTGCTGTATTATTATTATTTTCTTTTGCTGCATTTCTTTATAAGTAAATCTGAATATTTTTATTTTCTTTCATTAATGAGTTATAAAAGTTATACTAGAGGTTAAGAACATCTTTCCAGATGTTGAGTCAACTTGTGAAAATGTACACTGATTTACAACTTCAGATATTTACTAATATACAACTTCAGATATTAACCGATTTACAACTTCAGATACAGTATACTGTTTTACAGCTTCAGATATTTACTAATATACAGCTTCAGATATTTACGGATATACAACTTCAGACATTAGTGTTGAAAAGTTATTCCAGATGTAACTTTATTGAGTTTTTTTTGTTTTTGTATTTCTTAGAAAATCAAATTGATAACTTTTGTTTTCTATTTTGTTTACAAGTAGAAGTATGTCTTTTACTTAGGCATGTGAGAAAAGTTACATCAGAATTAGTTTAAGCATGTGTGGGCTAAGCAAATGTCTTCCTTGATATTTTTTAAATACCAAAAGATTTTGACTAGTAACAAATTACACTAATAAATTTGTTTAAAAAAAAAAAGCTTCATAATTTAGCAAATATAGAATCTAAATGTATGACATTTTTGGGTTAATGGTGAATTTTTTTCACCTCGCATTTCAGATAACCTTAAACAAAACTGAACTAGACCAAATCAAGACATCTAATGAGACAACTTTAGCACATCTTGTGGTGCTCACTGTTGCCAGTCTTGGAGAGAACATGTCTCTACTCTAAGGAGGGGGGCATACATCAGAGCAGGGCCTGGCAGTATGTTGGCTTCCTATATTCATCCATCAAGTAGGTTTTCTTAATCATACAATAATAATACACACTAGTTGTTGATTGTATTTAATTGTTGATTGCATTTAATTTGTTGATTGCATTTAATTGTTGATTGTGATTACTTTAAATTCACTTTAGGCATAATATCATGTCATATAAATGTATACAATATATGATATTTCGAGCAGGACAAGTGTGAGGAATTTACAGATTATATAACTTTTATTGATCTATTTCAATCCAGCAGGAAGCTTGATTTTTCAAGCTACAGGGCAGAACTAAACTTCAAACAGCCAATTCAAATTTGTATTTATGCATCCATTGTAACTTTTACTGAACTTGTCTCACAGCAAAGCAGACTGATCCAAAGAAAAGGAAAATGCAAACTCATAAACAAAAAAACCTAGACTCAGTGTTAACAAAAATAATTATTGATGGTTATTACTTCAGCTTTTCATTTTTTTTTTTTTTGTTTCATGGTTTTTGGTAGTCTGTTGACAGTCTTAATTCATCTGAGTTTTAACTCATCAGGTTGGCCTGTACATATTTTATTACTAAGCTTATTTTTTATTTTTTGTTTCATGGTTTTTGGTAGTCTGTTGACAGTCTTAATTCATCTGAGTTTTAACTCATCAGGTTGGCCTGTACATATTTTATTACTAAACTTATTCATTATTTTTTGTTTCATGGTTTTTGGTAGTCTGTTGACAGTCTTAATTCATCTGAGTTTTAACTCATCAGGTTGGCCTGTACATATTTTATTACTAAACTTATTCATTATTTTTTGTTTCATGGTTTTTGGTAGTCTGTTGACAGTCTTAATTCATCTGAGTTTTAACTCATCAGGTTGGCCTGTACATATTTTATTACTAAACTTATTCATTATTTTTTGTTTCATGGTTTTTGGTAGTCTGTTGACAGTCTTAATTCATCTGAGTTTTAACTCATCAGGTTGGCCTGTACATATTTTATTACTAAACTTATTCATTATTTTTTGTTTCATGGTTTTTGGTAGTCTGTTGACAGTCTTAATTCATCTGAGTTTTAACTCATCAGGTTGGCCTGTACATATTTTATTACTAAACTTATTCATTATTTTTTGTTTCATGGTTTTTGGTAGTCTGTTGACAGTCTTAATTCATCTGAGTTTTAACTCATCAGGTTGGCCTGTACATATTTTATTACTAAACTTATTCATTATTTTTTGTTTCATGGTTTTTGGTAGTCTGTTGACAGTCTTAATTCATCTGAGTTTTAACTCATCAGGTTGGCCTGTACATATTTTATTACTAAACTTATTCATTATTTTTTGTTTCATGGTTTTTGGTAGTCTGTTGACAGTCTTAATTCATCTGAGTTTTAACTCATCAGGTTGGCCTGTACATATTTTATTACTAAACTTATTCATTATTTTTTGTTTCATGGTTTTTGGTAGTCTGTTGACAGTCTTAATTCATCTGAGTTTTAACTCATCAGGTTGGCCTGTACATATTTTATTACTAAGCTTATTCATTATTTTTTGTTTTGTCTGCATATTAATTTATTTAATTTTATTATTACTCTTGACAGACTCCAGTAAATCACAGAAAAGCATATTATTAGGTAAATATGGATCCATAGTAGAAATGAAGAAGAACAACAAGGTTGAAAAACCAGTGATGTCACTCAATGACCTCAGCAGCCACATTTGTCAGCATATAGTCGGTATGAATCCTAAAACAGCCTGTGAATACATCCCGAGAGAAAATAAAAAACCTGTGGAAGAAAAGAGGTTTGATGAGGAAGATATCTTTAATGAAGATGGCTCAAGTGAGGCTGCTGTCCAAATGCAGGTCGAAGTGGAGGAAGACAAGTTGCTGAATCAAGAATTTCTGCTGGACACCACCATGACAGTCGGGGAACTTGTGTTGATCAACGGGGTGGAAATTTTGCAGTTTAGGCGTTTCGCTTGCGGAGAGGAGGTAGAAGGGGAAGCTAAAGCAGAGCAGTGAGACATTTACCAATATGGGTTAACACTTGGGGTAGACTACATAGATGACAGCTTAAAGGTTATCAGCATTATTTTGACCAGTTTTTGAGTATTTCTTAATGTAATCAAGTAAAAGTGAGTGTCATGTTTAATAATGGAAGGGATGATGATGGGGGGGACAAAGCTTTTCACATATGAAAATTTGTTGGGTTTTTTTTCTTTATATTTTATTGATTGCATTAATGAGAAGTGGAAGTGTTTGAAGACAGTCATTGTTCGAATGGGCTTCTACAGCTTAATTTATTATTTGGGTAATGGCAAGTCTAAGTAGATCAACTTCCATTGCCACAGCAAAGATTGTCTGTTGAGAATATACCAGTGTGATTTGAATGTGATAAAAAGATTGAGTTGATGTTTACAAGTAAGCTTAATACACAAGAAATGACCAACTATTCAATCAATGTGTGTTGTTATTTTTGTTGTAGCCATTCAAGGCAGGTGTTGTCAATCAGTTATTTTTAATCTCTTTATTTTTTCAGAAGTATATCCATTTATGAATTTATGCTGATTTAACCCCACAAGTTGTATTTGTGAACTTTTATGTTAATTAATTGCGCCATTATGACCTCTAAGATTTTTATTTCTGCCCCACCTTGGCTAATTGACCAGCTGCCCCGAGACCTGCTGTAAGTTTAAGCAGTTCAAATTAATATACACATTTAAACATCAATAAGTATAAGATGTTTATAGAGAGTTTCAAAGCCAATGGACAGAACTTTGGGTTCAATATGGAACTCTTCTTAAATAGCATCATAATATTTGATACTGGTAATAAATAGTCTACACTTCACTGATATCAGCACAGACTGAACTTCTTTCTCGCTGCACACTGATCAAAGCATTTAAAATTTCTTTCTCGCTGCACACTGATCAAAGCATGCCAAATTTCTTTC